GAGGAAGCTGGCCCACTGCAGTCACAGTGTTCTGAGACATATGGGCCAAAGGTCACCTCCAGGTCCCAACCCAAACTGGCAGCTGGCAGGGAAGCTGAAACTCCACAAGGGTGTTGTGTTCAGACAAGGCAATAGCAGAGCGATCACCATGTCTGTAGTCAAGGCTAGATCCTCCTACAAAGTGGAATAGGGCAAGCACATGTAGCAACTGCTCCAACTGCTGCTGTGGCTTGTGCTACCCTGAGTGCCTTCATTTCTAAGGAAAATCAACAAATACTGAGTACTTGGGATTTTTGCAAGTGGACTTGGGAACAGAAAGATGGAAGAACGATGTCAAGTGAAGAGTATGCCTGACAACTGCTCTAGGCAGCAGTGCCCGAGGACTGTTCTCAGACCTCCTTAAGATAGCTCTGGTAAACAGCTCACAGGGCCCCCAGAGGTACTTTGGAAAAGCCATTCCAGAAAAGTCCATTTACACATTCAATCCCTGGCAGAGGATGCGGCTAGTGGGAGAACTCTTGTCTATTAAGTACAAGGCCCTGGGTTGCCTCCCCCCACCAACCCGTGACTAAGTAGTTATGATCTAGGCCGGGTGTTATCAGAATACTAGGCTTTGCCATCAAGCTGATGTGGTTCGACCCTTGCTCAGTTCACAACACTCAGCCTGAGTGTTCTTACTGACTTTCCTACATGGTTGAGAAAATGAAATGCTGCACACTAGGCTTCCACCAGACATCTGCTGGCATCAAGTGCTTGACATCCTCCCCCTCCTCTTTGGTTTGTTTTATTGATACAGGTTCTCATTGTAGCTCAACTTGACCTAGAACTCTTTGTAGTCTGGGATGGCCTCAAACTTGTGGCTCTTCTTTTACTTCAGTGTGTGCTGGGATTACAGGTATGAGCCATCACACTTGGCTGATCCTTGTAAGGAAACTCACTACTCCCTGCCAGGTGCTGTAACACACATCTGTGTTCCCACCACTAGAGAGAGACAGAGGCAGGAGGATTGCTACAAGTCTGAGGCTAGCCTGATCTACATACTGAATTCCAGGCCAGCCAGGACTACCTACTGAGACCTTGTCTCGAACAAGCAAAGACCCAAACAAAACCAACCAAAAGAGATATCACACAGAGACAAAAAGCTGCCTAGTTCCCCCTTGACACTAAGATGTAGATAAGAATATCACAGGGGGCTGAGGTAGCTCAGTTGGCAGTGCCTGCTGTGCAAGCAGAAGTACCTGAGTTCAGATTCCCAGCACCCATGTACAAGCTGGACATGGTGTCTGGTGTCTGTAACCCTAGCTAGGAAGAGGTAGGGGGGTGGAAGGGAGTGGGAGGCATAGAGCTTATCCAATCCCCAGAGCTCAGTTGGCTGACCAGTGTACCCAAATCATGAGCTCCAGGTTCAGAGACTGACCCTATATTCAAAATATGAGGTGGAAGCCGAGCATGGTAGTGCAAGCCTATAATCCTAGCACTTACAAGGCAGGCAGAGGATCTCTGTGAGTTCCAGGCCAGCTGGAGATAAAGGGAGATGCTGTCTCAAAAAGACAAAAAAAAAAGTAGAGGGCTAAGGAGATAGCCCAGTGGATAAAACACTTGCTATGCAAGCCTGAGGACATAAGTTCTGATTCCCAGAAACCCACATAAATGCCAGGTAGTTAAGGTGGGCCAGAGCTCAGAAGGCAGCTATGGGAGATCCCCAGAGCAAGCTGGCTAGCTGGATGGGCCTTTATTGGTAAGCTCTGGATTCAGTCAAGACCCTGCCTCAATGATTAGGGTAGACCTTAGCCTATCAAGGAAGACCCCTGATGTCAACCTTGAGCCTCCACACACGTGCACACATAAGCACCAAGACATGTGAACACATAGGGACATATACATGTAAAGAAAAAGCAAGACTTTCAACAAGCTCTAGCTTCTCTCTACATGCATGTGCACTCACACTCACTATACACACAAACATGAAATGTCACAATGAAACCCACTATTTGTATAATGTATGTCTAAAAAATATATATTTTCTAAAATACAAACGGAGTAACTATAAGTAAACTCTTTACACCAAATATGAAAATACTAATAGAAAACTCATTTTTTAAAATATATCTTGGGGCCGGGCGTGGTGGAGGCAGAGGCAGACGGATCTCTGTGAGTTCAAGGCCAGCCTGGTCTACATAGTTGAGTTCCAGGACAGCTGGGGCTACAGGGAGACCCTGTCTCAATTTGGGCCTGGAGAGATGGCTAAGTGGTTAAAAGCACTGGCTGCTCTTGCAGAGGACCTGGGTTCAATTCTCAGCACTGACATGGCTGCTAACAATTGCCTGTAATTCCAGTTCCAGGGGATCCGACACCCTCTTCTGACCTCCATGGGCACTGCACAGAGCATGGGTGCACTTACACATACACAGAAAATAAAAATATTTTTAAAAAATGAAATATATATTATGTATTTCTAGTCAACTACTAAGGTTATTGTCCAAATAAGAAAATGTCATTAACTGACTACATGGCATCTAAAGGGGGCACTGGAGTTGCTGTAACCAGATGTAACCAGATGCCTCAATTCTGAGACCCAGTGAGTGTCAGGACTCCGCAGAGAGGCTATCTCTGGCAGAAAGCTCCAATCTTTCCTCAGCTTGAGTTGGCCCAAGTCAACTTGAGGCCCCTCTAAAGCAGCCCAGGAAAGTCCTGCTTTCCCTGTCCATCTGGAAGGTCCCTCAAGGCTAAAAAGCCACTAGTATCACACACATACCCCAAAAGTGTGCTTCTCCACTGAAAAACTTGTCTAAGACCTTGGCTCTCAGAAATGAAATGAAGTCGTGAACGCCGAGCAGAAGAGAATGAAGACATCTCAAAGTGATTCAAAACATGACTTTGACCCACTGCTCAGGTCAAAATAGGTGAACTTTCACACAATTTTACAACTTGGGGTTCCCAGGATGAACTGACTTCCTTGGGTTGCCAGTTCAGAAACCCTAGCCCAGGCAGGTACTCTTCCTTCCTTGGGAGGGAGGTGACTACCTTTTCTGTCAGGTCCTCTTTGGGCTTCCGCAGATCTGCAGACTGCAGCCTCCATGCATAAACTGCCCTTCCTGCCTCTGCCTCCTGAGCTGCTGGAGCCACAGGCACACATCACCACCAGCTTGTTTTTGTTTTAATTAATTTTTTACAGGGGGGCATACATGTATCACAGCAGAGGGCAAGCTGTGGGAGCGAGTTCTTCACTTCACAGATCCCAAGGATCATACTGAGGTCTCAAGGCTTGGCAGCAAGCACCCCTACCCACTGAGTGATCTCACCAGCCCCCAACTTCAATAAAAAATTTAGTTTATGGGACAAGAGAAATGGCTCAGTGGTTAAGAGCACATACTGCTCTTGCCATGGACCAAGTCCAGTTCCTAGTACCATTGTCAGGTAGCTCGTAGCTGCTCGAAACTACGGTTCTAGAAGATCCTACACTTCTGGCCTCCAGACTGGCACTTGCACGGTCAGGCACATATTCACACACTTACACATAAAGTGAAAATCTAAAATCTCTAGTTATGTGTCCATATATGAGAGTGTAGTGCCCTGGAGTCCTAAGTGTGTTAGGTCCCCTAGGTTTGACAGGGAAGGAAGCAAAATGTCAGTGGTCCTCTGGGTTCCATCCACCAAATGGAAGCAGGGTTAACTGACTAAACAACAAACATGATCCTGGGTGGGTAAGAGTGTATCCACTCAAGGTGTTGGATCCCCTAGAGAGTTATAGGCAGTTGTTAACTGTCTGACATGGGTGCCTGGAACCAAGCTCAGGTCCTCTGAGAGCAGTATGTACCCTGAAGCATCTCTTCAGCCCCATCTAGATTGCTCACGGTGAATGCATGTGGACATGTGTATCAGTTATCTCCTTCTATCATGTACAGTTCAGTGACTGATTCAGGCCCTCAAGCTTGGCAGTAAACACCTTTACCCACTGAGTCATCTCATGGGCTCAATTTTTTTCTTTTTCTGGTCTTGAGACAGGGTCTCCCTGTAGCCCCAGCTGTCCTGAAACTCACTATGTAGACCAGGCTGGCCTTGAACTCAGAGATCTGCCTGCCTCTGTCTCCTAGTGCTGGGATTAAAGGTGCGTTCCACCACAGCCTATTTTTAAATATCAACTAGTTGCCCGCTTCTTGCATCACTTAGGGCAGCTCTCCTCTTATGCCCTGCAGTTTCATCTCAGCTGGCACGGAAATTACGGCCCCCTTGCCTTTAAGCAGAGTCCACTGTACTGCTTCCAGGAGGACCCCTGCAGGGACCAAGAAGGCATGTTCCTCAAGAAGTCTCTCTGCTGATCCCAAACACCGCATCTTTAAATCTTATTCTGTAGAGAAATGAGGCCCAGGGAGACAGCAGTTTCCAAACAAATCTAAGTTGTACATATCCCTGTTCTCTAAGAAATGCACACGGCTGCTCTGTATTTTCACTGGATACACTCGTTCTTGCCCGTTTAGGAGCATGTTTGTTGTTCCCTCAGCTACATATACAGCACTGGTCTGGTGGATAGAACTTGGGCCTGCTGATGCACTCACTGAGCTACATGCTGTCCCTTTATGCATTTTTCTTGTCAAACCCCAGGGCATCAGGACTTCATTATGACAGCCCATCTGACAGCTCTGAAGGCCAACTGTTAGCAAGCCAACCCCCCATCAGACTCCCATATTCTCAAAGAAGACCTGCTGCAGGTCATGGCAGAACACAGGTAAGATGGGCATGCCAAGATACCCAAAGGCATGTCTTTTCCTACTGGAAGTTCTCCCTTTGGAGCTCCTATAGAGCCTGACCCTGGCGAGCCTGCACACAGCACTACTGTTAACAAGCTGCTCCTAGAGCTTCCAGGCCTTGCAGTCAATGGGTAGATCCATGGAAAGCTGCAAGCAGAGCCCAGGGACAAAGAGCTGCCCCTCCTGCAGTCAATGGTTGCTATGGTGACCACCAAAGTGCGAGGGCATCAGTAAATGCCAAAGAACAGTTGGTGCAAAGCCAAACTTCAACAACTTTTTATTATTGAACATGGGTAGGGTTAGTTCTCTAACCCCATGAACAACAGCACCTCCATTGAGATCCAGGCTAGGTGCAAACCTGGTAGACTATCTCTTAAAAAAGATTAAAAAAAAAATATATATATATATATATGTATCTGCCCAAGAACTTAATAAAAACCACGGCATTCTCCAGTGTAGCAGACAAAATATCCAAGTGACTTGAGTCCATAGAAAACAGCACTCTGGGTTGACCCTCCAGAACTACAAAAACAAGTCAATAGCATTTGGCAGTTTGAGCTGCCTTAAAGCCCCCAACTCCACACAACTCTAGAAGAAACCATCTATCCCCTCATTTAACCCCCTACCCCCAACCCTTTTTCTTCTTTGCTCAATTTTCACCACTTATTGAAGGAAAAGACCCGGAGAAGAGCAGGATGAAGGCCAGAGGCTTCACCTTGTCTGAAGACTCACACTCATGGACTCCCAATTTCCAGGCTTGATTTCTAGAAACTTGCAAAACACCAGCAAGCTTGGGGGTGAGCCCAAGAGATGCCATATAATCTGGAAATCTTACCTATCAGGTAAAAATAGCAGCAGGCTCCAAACTATTAGCAGATCTCCCGTCTAACCTGAAGGCAGACTACAGAGGACCAGTATGTAACCCCATTTTTCTGCAAGAAGTGGGCGTGCTTTGGGTCCGGCTACCTTGCCTTGATCGGGGCCTTCACCTTATCCTGGCCTGGAGGGCTCAGACCAGAGCCGATCAAAGGGGAATATACAAAGCTGGGGTCCCTGTAGCCCAGCTCTTGGCTGCTTTACGAAGACTTTCTCAGGTTACTTAAGAGCAGGGACATTTTCAGAGACTTCCTAACTGACAAATACTTCAGTAGCAGCTCCTCAAAACAGCTACTGGACACAGACGCCCTCAGTGCAGGGTCACAGCTCCTTCCAGTTGATGGGCTTCTTGCCAGACTTCTGTAGCAACTCATTGGCTTTAGAAAAATGCCGGCATCCAAAGAACCCTCTGTACACCGACAGCGGGGAGGGATGAGCAGTCTGCAGGATGTGGTGCCGCTTCTGAAAAAGACAGAGTAAAAGGTTGCAGCTGGACACCTCCGACACAGCTTTGCACTCACCTGTAAGCAGCTTCCTCTGCTGAGCTGAGGCGGCACAGGCCATGTCAGGTGATCACACCTAACCCAGTCATTCCTGTTCCCCCTGCACTGAGATCACATCTGCTGAAGGATACTTACACACCTACGCAGAGGAGCATGATGGCATAGTTTATAACTAAGGCCAGTGTTAAAGGACGAAAAACATCTCCTCAAGTTTACAATGGAACACAGCAGCTCCTAGAACAAATTCAAGCTACAGACAGGGGTATGAGAAAATATCTCAATTTTTGTGGTTTTCCATCTTTTCTGAATGTGGCTTTGAGGCCTGAACCTAGGACCTTGTGCATGGCGAGGAAACAAAACAAAAATAACACACACTTGTTTGGAGGAAACATACCCAAAATACTCGGGTAACTTTAGTGGATATACCTTTCTATATTGTCTGAATTGACTCACCCCCAGAAATGGAGTATTCTGATTTTTAAAATGTCACTGTAGTCATCTGAGCAGACAAACTAGGACCCTTTTTGTGTTCTGTATTGAGGTAAAACCTGGCTAACACATAGTGCACCTCAAGACATGCCTGTCTTCAAGGAGCTCAGTTCAGGAAGGGTAGTAACGAAAGGGAAGCAGCACAGCATCCCAGCATGGTCAAGGGCCGAGCACGGGTTCAACTGCAGATCCGTCCTCGACTCTACTGCAGTTTTCATCTGTAAACGGGGAACAGCAGCACCTGGCTTATGATGTCACCACGACAGCTCAAACAGAGCACAGGTAGAGGGGAATCATGAGAAGCATGCCAGGTGTGTAACACTGGCGAGCAGCACATCTACAGCACATCTATGTGAGTGCCAGCCATGGCTAGCTCTGAAGGTTAAGCCAAGCTTTGTCTCTGGGGAAAAAGGGGCTTCCATCTAAGATTGGCAGGAGGAAGTAGAGGCACCATATAGGGAGTTAAGTCAACATGATTTGAGTGGGTAAAGAGTCAGGGCTAAGAGGCAACTGGAATCCTCCAAGCCAAGAGCAGATAAAGACCAATCTAAGGCAAAGGCAGCTGGGAACTAGAAACAGCAGAGGGGGAAGCATCAGATAGCAACAACGCCTAGATGAGGGGAAGGAAGTACAAAGGAACAGGGAGGTACAGTCCAGCGGGGATAGCACTGTTTTTTAAACACCAGGGAAAATGGGAGCAAGTAACAGTGAGAAGAGGAAATATTGGATTTGCTGTGCTATGGGGTACAAGCAAGGGGGCACTATATAGGTCTAGTGTTCAGGGGGTGCAGAGTTAAAGACCTGCAAACTTCCTTTTCTTAAACCATGTATTTTAAGTATGTGTGTGTGTGCATGTAACATGAGTTCAAGTGCTGGAGAAGGCCAGAGGCATCCAATACCCCTGGAGCTGGTGTTTTAGGTGGTAGTGAGCATGGGTGCTGAGTGGTAGTGACATGGGTACTGGAAGCCAAACTGGGGTGCTTTGCAAGAGCAGAGTAGGTGTTCTTATCACTAGGCCATCACTCCAGGATACAAACCTCTTTTGTGTAAATAAGAACAATTTAAAAAGCATTTGTGTATAGGCGTACACATAGGACAAGTTGAAGGAGTTGGTTCTCTCCTCCCACTGTGTGGGTCTCAGGGATCAAACACATCAGGCTTAGCAGTCAATGCCTTTACCCAGTGAGCATCTTGTCAGCCCCTGAAAACTGGTTTGAATGACCAAGCTACTTTACAACTGCCTTTCTCTTAGCCCAACACAAGTTTCCTAACGAAGACTGCCAAAACACCAAGTACAGCCATGTAGCCATGAGGCTTCCTCCTTGAGGCTCAGCACTTCCTACTTAGATAACCTGACTGGCAGTCCATACAAGGTCAAATCTTAGCTCAGTCATAAAGGATTTATTTTTCTGAGTCTTTTCCTTAAGAAAAACGCCTGAAAAAAATCATGGGTGTACACAGTGGCAGACAAAGAGGTTGTTCATTGGACTTCACATGTGACTGCCCTTTGTTTGTATCTGAGTAGATCCTAAAAGGCTGGTTCATAAACTACAACCCAGTGGTTGCCCACACTGGCTGGAGCCCGACCAAGTAGAAACTAGGGTGGGAGAATGTCTACTGCATACCTCATCACATTTTTTAGTTTTTGTAGGGAAAATAACCTGTGATTTCAGTGGAAATTTTCATGTTTCCCACATTCCCCAATTTTGTGGAAGTAGGACACATGCCTCACTCATCACCTGTTGTATCGCATGGTGCATCAGTGGTACTAGGGACCCAAGGTCCCTGTGTGCAAGGCAGTTCATCTTGTTACCAACTGCAGTGATGCACACTGAACAGTCTACCATGGTCTGACTGTTTTGTTCTTAGTGGAACCAACTAGTTTCTTGGGGGGCATGGTTTGTGTGTGCTGAGGAGATACAAGGTCTCACTCTATAGTCTAGGCTAGCTGAACTTGAAGCAATCCTCCAGGTGCTGGAATGACATGAACCACCACACCTGGGTAACATTCATTTTATAACCAAGGTTTTCCAGGGATTCCTAGATTCTATACTCTGATATACTAAAAAGACAATACATACCCTGTCGATGGCACTACCTTTTTTCTGAGCATAAGAGCCCCAGAGCAAGAAGACAAGGCCCTTCAGATTCTGATTTAGCCAGGACACAACTGCATCAGTGAACTGCTCCCAACCCCTCTCCTTATGGGAATTGGCTTGGTGGGCACGGACAGTGAGGACGGCATTGAGAAGGAGGACACCTGAGAACAGAGGTGGGAGAAATGGGTTAGGAGGAGGTGCAAATATAGCAGCACAAACTGACAGCAGGGGTTAAACATGACCAGTTCATTCACTCAACAGGACCCAGGGCAGATATCAGGCCATAAAGAAAGCACCAGTGACCTCTGGGTAAGATTCAGAGGGACATCTTGTTTTCATCTCTGCTGCTTTGGCACCTTCCAGTCTGTGATGATAAGCACAGGCTATTCATCAACAATACTGTTTAAAAACACATACCCTAAGTGATATTAAATATCCTTAGAAAACTGTTTTGGTCCCAATCTTCACTGAAACAAAACCTAAACTACAAGAAATCAAGAACAATTTTTTTTTTGTCCTGGTTGCAGAAAATTTCAAGACAGGCATTACATACACACAACAGCCCTAGCCACCTCTCAGTGATCAGTTGGGTGAAGTGGTGTAAGCACACTGAAATTGTAACTAAGATCCGGGAAGAGTGGCTGTAGACAATCAGGCACCAAGCTATCTAAGCATTTTATTACTACTTTACAGCAGCCTTTGAAAAACAGCAAGAGGCAGCATGTAAGAGAGAAGACTGCTGGTACCAGGCCCAAATAAACCTAGCTGGGCTTGGCTTACCTTGTTTGGCCCACCCAGACAGATCTCCATGGCCAGGATGAACAAAACCGTCGATGTCTGTAGACAGCTCTTTGTAAATGTTTTCTAAACTGAAAAGCCAGGAAGAAACAAACCAGAAATATCAGGTTCACCACTCTCCAAGATAGGTGGAAAAAGGTTAGGCATACATACATACAGCCAGGCCTCGGAAGGAAGGAACAAGGCAACTTCTGGCATCAGAAAATGAGAATAATGTATGCAGTCCTGAATGGTCCATCTGCTAGATAACCTCCACTGTGGGCGGTGTTCAGACTGAGAAACAGAATAGGGGGCTAGAGAGATGGCTCAGTGGGTAAGAGCAGAGGACCTGGGTTCAATTCCCAGCACCCACATGGTGGCTAATAACCATCTGTTAACTCCAATTCCACATGATCCAATGGCTTCTTCTGACCTCTGTGGGCACTGCACAACATGGGTGCACTTACACACATGCAGGCAATACTCACACATATAAAATAAGTATTTGAAAGACATAATAGCACTTGGAAGATCTTAGTAAATTAGCCCAGCAGTTATGAACCACCTCCCCAATGAAGTTTAGTTTCTTGTCCTGTTTTGACATATTATGTATAAAATCCCCCAGAGCAGTGGTTCCTAACCAGGGGCGGCTGTGTCTCCCCAGGCCTTCTGTAGTGCACAGGACAACGTCAGGCTGAGAAACTCTCCTCCAAAGGCTAGTTCTGAAAGTGACTGCCACTGGACTGGTGCCATCTGCAAAGCAACTGTACCTGGGCGGAGGTGGAACCGGTCTTTGGACGCTAAAGCAGAGCCCGTGAGCTTGATTGGGTCCATGATAGGGATCCTGTCCTAGGATGACAACCTTCACCTGTGAACACCAAGTGACAATGAATTAAACTACACTGCAGTGTTCCATTGAAAGGAACACCTGGCTAATACTACAGAGGGACCCCAGGGAGCAGGCAAGCCCCGCTCACAGCCCAACTGAGAACCCAAAAGGGGCACCCACTGGACACTGATATTTCCCCTAACAACTCATCCTTCTACCCTACTGACCCACATCTCTAACAAGTTTTGGGTCAGCTTTGTGGTTCTCTTTGTTATTTTTTCAATGACAAAAGTAAATACATCCTGTAATAAACACAGGGAACACCCAGAAACATACATAAGGTAACCATCTCATGATCATCTATTTTCACTTGTGGTGCTGGGACCCAACTCAAGGGCCTCAAACACGGGCACAAACACTCTTAGTATTTCCTGAGCTGCACCCAGCCCAAGTTCACCACTTCTAATACGTATGTAACTGGAGATCCTGCACTCAATTATTGTACTCAGGTGTTCCTGCAGTCTGGGGACCCAAGTCTCAGAATAGACATGAATACAGCACAACACATCTGTAGACACATCACAATGTCAAAAGCTGGACACTCCTGCTCTACATACTGCGGCAGCCCTTCATGTCAACAGCTCTCACGGGCAGTCAGCTCTTCTCTCATTAGAGGAAAACCCTGCTGTGAACACCACACAGGTATCTCTGCACACTGGGGCTTCACAATGGAGGTGCTGTTAGTCTAAGGAGAATCATACCTCAAGCCTTCGCAGATCTGAACCCAGGGATGTTTCAATAAGCTATCTAGCATGTGAATCCCCACCAACAGCTGCTGCTCTGGAATCCTGAATGGGCAACACCAGAAGAGGGTCAGGTCACAGGTGTGGGAGTGGGCGATCAACCACGAAGACCAGGCCTGTCTCCAGTGCAGAAATGCACAGGCCTACCTGGCCTCTGCACACTGTCTTGTTTTCACTCCCTGCTCCAGTCCTTGGTGTTCTTCCTAGAGTTTGCCTCTATGGCCGATGCCCTCTAGTAGCCTGTAAATTCGGCTATAGACTTCCACTTCAATGACTGGGAAGCTCTCAGTTCCTGCCCTCAATGCCCTGTAGCCCACATATTCTCCATGGTGAACCACATCTGGGCAGGCAACAGCTTTCCAGTTCTGGGACTCTGGTCCTAGGAGGACAATCCTTAGCACCCAGCTTCTGTGAGCCTGCATGTTTACCCACAAAGGTCCCTGCCAGTCCATCAGGCCTCAGAGGTAAGTTTGATACTCTTGAGTCTTCATAACAATCTAATGAGGAGAGAGCTAGCACTGAATGGGACTTAAGTTTTTAAAACTCAAAACAAGGAGTTCTACATTCTAAATTCTTTCTTTGAGGTAGGAACTGTAAAATTTTCTATTAGGTGTGGCTGCCATATTAAAAGTTTGGTCACCTACTTTAAGACCACTAGACTTAAGATATTTACTAAATCCTAAGATTTCTTGTGCTACTTACAATATGATAGAAGAAAAATAAAATAAAACCCCTGGGGCAAGCAGATACTCAATGTAGCATAAGGGGTTAGAGGAAAACTAGATCTCCAAAGCAGCAAGCAACAGGCTCTGCCACAGATACTGTTGGTGAATCTAGGTGGCCTCAAAAGACATTGCTACTTTGCCCAGCTCTGCAGTGGGAGAGTGAAGGGTGGAAGTGAGGCTGGGGCATAGGATATGGCCTTATTTAAGGACAGCTTACACAATCAGGTTCATAGTTCACACAGGCAAAGTCACAGACAAGCTTCCAAATAGCAAAGAGAAGTGACAAGAACTGCCAACTGGCAACTGACACAGGATGAACTGGCAAAGGCAGGTCAGAAGTTAAGAGCCTGCAAGCACCACCCACACCAGATGGGGCCATCAGGCTGGTGTCTTTATATCCTAATAGTAACTACTACTGGCATAGGTTTTCAGGACTACATAAAATTGATGAGTAGATAAAAAGTTGTTCTCTGAGCAATAGAACAGTGGTTACCAAAATCTGACAAGGGAGTAGGGAGGGACCTGTAACAGATTGAGGCTTGGCAGGACAGGAGTAACTGCTAATGTTCTATAGCACAAAAGTAATCATGGTTGACAACAATTGATAAAACATCACAAAACAGCTAGTAGAAAAGACTGAAAGACTGGAATACCCCCGCCCTCCGGACCAAAGCAATGCTAGATGTCTGAGGTAATATATCTGCCAGCTGCTATGACCTGACTGTATTGCAATGTCACTGTATCCTTTAACTATGTGCAATTACTGTGTCAATTACAAGTCAGGAGGACCAAATATTTAAGGCCTGTGTTAGAGAGATGGCTCAGCAGTTAATTCAGAGGACCCAAGATTAAATTTCTAGCTATCACTGTGCTCATAACCACCTACAACTCCAACTCCTGGTGCATCTAATGGCTCTGGCTTCTGTGGGCACCTGTACTCAAGTGTATTTACCCACAGACACAGACAGACAAGACAGACAGACACACTGTTAAAAATAAATCTTAAGACCTGCTGGGGGTGTGTAGATCAAGAGTAGAGTACTTGGCTAGGATGAATGAGCCCCTGTGCTCAATCTCCAGCAGTAGCCAACAGAAAGGCCAAGACAGTGTATATATACAAGGGGGTTACTATGTGGTGTGACACATTTAGCCAAGGTAATGCAGTCTCTACCAAAGTATGTATACTGAAGAGCTTCACTGTCTCCTGATGCTATGGCTTTCTCACAGCTGTGGCCCTGGGCTTTTGGAAGGCTAATGAATGATCTCTGGTCCCTTGTTTTATTTCTTCTACCAGTTCTGATAAAGTTTTGATGAGAAGAGGGCAATACATGCACAGTTGGAATTATCAACGGATGTCAACTACCCATGAAGCCAAGCGTGGTGGTGCAGCTTTAATCCCAGGACAAGAGAGGCAGAGCAGGTAGAGCTCTGGGAGATCAAGGCCAGGCTGATCTAATCTGTACAGAGACTTCTAGGGCAGCTGGGGCTATAGGGAGAATTTGTCTGATAAAACCAAAACTAAACCAAAAAAACCCCACGAAAAATACCAATCATCCACGTGACTCTTACTGAAGGTTGGTTGAGAATGTTAACTCAGGACAGGCATGGTAACCCTCCTTTTTCTTCAATGGTGCTGGTGATTTGACTTAGGACTTCTTCACATGCTAGGCAAGCACTCTGCCTGAGTCAAGTATTCCTAGCCCATCCTCGAATGTCTAAGGCATAACTACTGCCTTTTCTTTTTTTTTTTTTTTTGCATCTTGTTCTATTTGAGACATGATCTCATGTAGCCCAAACTGATCCCCAAACTTCTGGTCTTCCTGCCTTCCTTTCCCATATACTGGGATTACAGGTGTGTGTTATCAACAAGGCTTGGCTTGTTTTGCCCCCACAACACACATTATATGTGAACAGAAAGATCCTCACTTCTCCAGCCCCACTGCCTATGCTTAACAAGACTCTTAAAAAAAAAAAAAAAAAATCAGGTGGAGAAAGCAGTAGTTAAGAGCACTAGCTGCTCTTGCAGGGGACCCAGGTTTGGTTCCCAGCATCCACATGGCAGCCAACAACTGTCTGTAACTCCAGTTCTAGGGCATCTGATCCCCTCTTCTGACCTCTGTGGGCCTTGTATGACACTCATACACATAAAACTTAAAATGAGAGCAGGCAGCCGGGCGTGGTGGTGCATGCCCTTAATCCCAGCACTCAGGAGGCAGAGGCAGGTGGATCTTGGTGAGTTCCAGGCCAGACTGGGGCTACAGGGAGATTCTATCTCAAAACTGTTAGGGTTCCAAACAGCAGCAGTTTCCCCCCTCCCCAACAGGGACCTCACCTTGACCTTTGGAGTCAAGGGAAACCTTAAGAGGGAAAAAGTAAACACTTCCAGACCCTAATCCTACCTGCTTTTCCTGCTCCCCCTCCCTGATTTCTCCCCCAAACATTCCCCACTTCCACACCCTAAAGCCCCATATATAAAGTCCCAGCTCACAACCCGTGGGCGGACATCTTTCCCGCTGTCCGGTGCGAAATAAATCTGTATCCTGCTGAGAATTCCATCTGTGCCTCGGTGCCTCCATCCATCCGCTCGTGCTCTCCACCACCCGCTCGCTCCCGCCCGCTCTCTACCTATCAAAAACCACCACCAAAAAAAAAGGGCAGGCAAGCCGTCCACATATGTACTGGAGTGTGCGTCTGGCAGATCCAAGGCCCTGGGTTTGATCCTCAACACAACAAAACCCACAAAAATAACGGTTAAACTTCAAGATTACTACTAAATTACTGATTGTGGCTTAATTTCACTGTCTACAATTAAGAAATACTCTTTTAATGGTGCCTCTAATGAAATCATTAACTGTACTTACATCTCTTATGTCACACATTTGGGTCCAGGTGAAGACTTGGTCTGGGGGTGGATAAACAGTGTGATGCTTTCTTTCTTCTGCAACAAATCCCATTAGCTGATTAAAAGATAAACTAGACTTAAAACCAGGTTCTCACTGGAAACGGTAAGAATTACGTTCAAAAACCTTTCTTTTATAAAAGTTGTTTGAAGCCTTATCTGGTTCGTTCCCATTTTGAAAATCATTCATTCCCCCCCCCCCCCCCCCCCGCACAAGGTCCGGTGAGATGGCTCATAGAATAAGGGTGGTTGGTGCCAGGCCAGACGACCCGACTTTCAATCCCCGAGACCCATGAAGTGACTCCCACAAGTTGTCCTCTGACCTCTACACGCCCCCCGCCCCCCAACAAATAAGTCAACGTGCTGTAAATGCAGACTGGACCTGCTACAGTAACGGATCACGTTCACCGCTCTGTAGGGTCCCACTGACCTTTATAAAATACGGTTTCCCGAACTCCGCGTTAAGATGTTTCTTCCAGCTCTCCCCGAAGCCCGCCGGCACGTTGCGGGCGGCAAGCCTGAGCAGCGCCGCGGCCTTGTTCCTCTGGATGCGGTCGAGCTGCTCTGGGCTGAGCGGCGAGGACAGAGGCGTGCCGGGCTGCTCCTCCCGGGCCTTCTTGGCGGGGCTGGCCTGCCAGGGGTCGGCGCGGAGGCGGGTCAGGCTGCGCGGCCTCCCTCTCCGAGGCGCTCGCAGGCTCCGCGCCAACCCCGCAGACGTCTGGCCTAGGACACCCATTCTGCTACGGGCCCGGGACGCCACGCGGGTTCCCGGAAGGACTCGCAAGACAGCGCCCCGCCCCGTCGCCCGCGTCCCCACGTGGCATTTTCGCGGCAAAACCGATCCCGCCCCCCGCCCCCCGCGGTTGGACTGTGCGCGGAGCACAGCGGGCCCGCTGCACGCTGATTGGCCCCGCGGGGACAGAGCCGCGTCCTCATTGGCTGGCGCCTCGACATGGCGGCCGCGGAAGGACGCGCGGCTGTTTTGAATAGGTGAGGACGGGGTCCGCAGACAAGTGGCCTCCAACCCGACCTCGTCGTCCTCCCGGCCCCCGCCCAGGCCCGCCGCGCCTCACCGCCGCCTCGCCGCTCTCCTCAGTCACGGCCGCCACGCCGCTCCCCGGGGCGACGGGCTCCGGGCTGCGCGTGTTCCGCTTCCCGGCGGGACTAGGGGAGAAGAAAGAGTAGAGGGTCTTCTGGCCGATCATCCCGGAGCCGAGGAAGGAGCGCACCCGCGCCCGGGCGCCCACAAAACTTCACGCGCCCCGGCTCTCAGAGGTTGGCGCCTCGCGATTGCGCATGCTCCAAGAAGGGGGCTTAGCCAGGGCTGGGGGGCGGCGAGGGAGCGCAGTGCGCATGTGCGGGAGGGGCTGCGGCGCACCGCCCCTGGCGAGGTGGGGCTTGCGGGTGGTCAGAGCGTCTGCTCCAGGAAAGTCAGCCTTCCCGGATCCGGCCACCCCACCTGGCTTAGGTAAGCTGTATCTCACCCGCTTTTCACTACCTGTCTGACTGATGGCACAGCTAACCATAAGGATTGGCGACTGAAAGCCCACGGAGGATAGACATCAAACTGTTCCCTGCTCCCCAATACCTCTCTCTATCCTCTTCCTTTCAGTGCTGGGGGTTGAACTCCAGCCATGTGTATGGTAGACATCCATTCTACAACACTACCCCCCCCCCCCCCCCCCCCCGAGCTATCTCCACACAGTCACTTCCCCACATTCAAGTCTTCCAGCACCTTCCTGCTACCCGCTCCCCCCAAATCTGGAATTCAACCATCCCAGCTATTCTCTTTCCTACTGAATGATTCTTTTGAGGTGTAGATTACATCTGGTCTACTGCCTTCAAGGAAACCTCTTATGGAGCTGGGTGGCAGAGCTCTCATAATCCCAGTACCTGGGAGGTGGAGACCGGGGGATGAGGAGTTGAAGGCTAGACTTGGCTACATAGCAAGTTCATTACAGGCCAGCCTGGGCTACATAGGGGTGGGAGGATAGAAGGAAGGAAGGAAATAAAGAAGAAAACCTTCCTACTGCTTTCAAATCTTAGCCCAAACCCCCAATGTTGTACCCAGTTCTCCAGCTGTCCCGTTTAGGCCTTCACATCCTATGTGCTCTGTCCCATACCCATAAAGCTTCAGTCTTGGCTCAGGACCCTTCCCTGTAAGGTCTTCTGCCCCATCTTCTAACCTATCATCACTCCTATACTGTACAAAACAATCTTATTTCTTAGTCCTTTTTACTTTTGTTTCCATCTCCAAAATATAGTGTGGGTGAAGCAGGGCCTGTGTCTTGCTGGTGTGTGCCAGGGTCCAGGACAAGGAGTGCCTTCTAGTAAGGGCGCACTGTGAAAAACAGTTTAGTGGTTCACACAGACATACACTTACCCGTGACCCCACAATTGCCCTCCTAGGCGTTTTCTCAAGTGAAAAGTCTTTATTCACACAAAACTTTTAGCAGGAATACTCAGACGACTTTATTCATAAACACCGAATTCCAGAGACAACTCAAATGTACAGCTGCTACATGGTCTTCCCTTCCTGCTGAGTTCATGCACTGGACCACTAATCAGCAACGAAAAGAAAATAGCACAAACAGCATGCATGTTAATATGTAATATGTACATTAACATTCATACTTAGTGCTAGAGATTGAAAACATGCTTATCTACAAAGCATTGCACGTACACGAAAGAAGCCAAACAAAATGCTGTAGATTATATAATTCCATGTATTTGAAATTCTGCAAAAGGCAACTAGGGACAGCTGACGAATCAGGGGTCACCAGGGGTTGGGTAGGGCACAAGTTGATACCTAAGGAGGAGGAATTTTATGATACAATGTATCATCACCATTGTGGTATCAGACAATATTGTAGCTTTGTCAGAATTTGAATAATTATACAGTAAGACATTTCCAAACAAAGCCCCCAATCTTGTGGAATTTATATTATGGCAGAGAAAATTAGGAGCAACAGTACCTAAGACTTCAGAGCACAGAGTTACAAAGTTGCCTCTTACTCATTCTCTCATTCAGTCCCGGAAAGGCGTTTTGCAGTCCCTACTACACAGATAAGGCAGTTCCAGGCCAGAGAGGTTAAGCAAACTGTGGAAGCCTACACCGCCAGATCCGAAGGCTCTAGAAATGGAAAACACAGGGTGTGTATGCAAAACTTGTTAACCCCTGTAGAACCCTGAGACCCTCCTCAGAGCCCCCACTAATTGCCTTCATAGCTTACTGCTTTAAACATGCCCTGACCCTCCCCCCCTTGCTGCTCCCTCCTCCTCCCCTCTAAGAAACTATAGATTAGGCAAGCCCGGACACAAAACTGCCCTATAAGGAGACTCCTGACCCCACAGGTGACAGCACATTCCACAACCCTGAGAACAGCACCCACCAATGGAAAACCTCCAGATCTGTACTCTGTATGTCCAATCAGTTCAAAATTATGTTGGCACGCGCGGGCTCCTTAAACCAACCAAAAATGTAACTTCAGAATCCCCCTCCTCCCTTTGTTTAAAACTTATAAAAGACTACACTCTCCCTTACTCTAGGCTCTGAGCACGGATCCGCTGCATTGGTGAGGTCTGAGAGCCCGAGCTTAAGCCGGAATAAACCATAAACCCTTGCTTTTGCATTTTGGTGTGTTGGGTCCTTGGTGGTCTTTTTGGGGTCCAGTGGACGAGGTATAACACCCCTAGAGAGTATGCTCTGCTGCTCCATGCTTGTGTTCAATTCCCTGTGTAGACATCAAAGTTAACCCCAGTGAGAGATGACAAGCAACAGGTAACAGATCACGGGGCTGGAGAGATGGCTCCGCGGTTAGAGCACTTAGCTCTTCTAGAGGACCTGGATTCGTTGCCAACACTCACAGGGCGGCTCACACCCATCCTTAACTCCAGTTCCTGGGGATCTGTGGGGACCAGACACACACGTGGTGCCCTTACCTCCAGGCAAAACACTCACATGACAATAAATAAAATCTTTAGTTAAAAACAGTGAACAGAAGACAGATGACCCTCAGTGCAGAAGTCTAGTTCACTGATGCAGCAGTACCTGCAATGCACCGAGAAGCCGCCAGGTGGCGCCTTCTGGTGGCGCCAGGTCTCGCTGCCCGGCCTGCACCCGCAGCTGACCCGGAAGTCCACGCCAGACCTTGAGGCCGCAGAAGGCGAGTTTTCCCGCCACCTTGACGGACCTGGGCGTTTTCGGGAGGCGGAGCGGTGCTCTGGCTGGGAGGTAAAGGACCCTTCTATCCCCGCCCTTCGCACGTGACGCAGTTCTTTTCTCTCCGAACCAGAGGTCCGTCAGGAGTCGCCGCCCGCGGGTCGGTCATGGGTTCCTCTCCAGGGTGGGCTGGAAGTACACACCCTGCTTCTCCCAGTCACTTCGGACAACCCCCTAGCCCCGTCTGGGCGTCAGTTTTCCCGTCTGTAAAATGAGGATTTGGAGTGTAGTCTCCAATTTTGTTGTGACATTCGAATTCCAATGAAGGAGAGGGAGTTTTCTCTTGTGGAGTTCTTGGACCGGACGGAGGTGGTGGTGCTCGCCTGTGGTCCCAGCACTCGGTTGGCTGAAACTGGAGGCTAAGAGCGTTGGAGATCAGCCGGTGTTGTGACCTAGTGTCTCTAAAAGCAAAAGCAGGGTGTGGGTTTTGCAGGCTCTCTAGCTGGTTGATGACCGCCAGGCATAGGAGACCCTGGGCCAGGTCGTTCCTAGGGACCCCCGGAGTTTTAACGCCCTCTGCTTTCTTTGTAGGACCGCTGCCGTTAGGTGCACTCGGATGGACACATTCCCAGCGACCACAGACCCAGGGCTCACTTAGCCACTCACCTCCACGTTGGGGAGAGGCGGGATGGATAGGTTCTTGGTGAAGCGGAAGCTGGGGGACCTTATGGGAAAGGGAGAGGAGCCAGCCAACCTTGGGGGAGTCACGGGAAACGCTAGGAAGAAGCCCAGGAGAGAGATCTCGAGGAGTGCGGGCCACCTGGCCGGCCTGAGCTGGCGGCACATTCGCTCCAAAGGTCTGAGCTGTGATTACACAGTACTGTTTGGCAAAGCAGAGGCAGATGAGATTTTCCGAGAGTTGGAGGAAGAAGTGGAGTATTTTACAGGTAAGCAGCAGAGGACTCTAGGTGTCGGGCGTGTATGACAGGACAAGTGAGTGAGCTTTGGAGAAATGTGAACCCAGCTCGGGATGGCTTTGCTGATGGACTCAACAGATGCTACAAAGACTCCCTGGGCACCTCTGAGCTTAGGACACCAACTTGAAAAAACAGAATCGCCTAGAGTGAAGTCACCTGGGCTCTGGTTGGTATCACCTGAGAAGTTAAAAGCCTGGCAACTACATGGACGATGAAGCTGAAAGCCCTTTCTGGGTTCTTTGTGATGCTAATTGAATCAGTATAGCCTAAAGGTGCTGCTTGGACTTTGTTTTTACCAGTTTGCCAGGTTGGAGGTGGAGTGGTTCTTAAGCATACCCTAGGCCCAAGGTTAGCCTCCAGCACTGTCAAACCAAAACAAGGAACAGGCTTCCAAGTGATTCTACATAGCCAGGTTGAGTTGGGTCTAGTGGGAGAGATAGGAGAGCCTGGTCAGCATCACCTAAAGGAAAGCTAGCACTGGTCAGAAGTCTAATGGGAACCCTACCCCCTGCAGAAATGTCTTAAGGAGGTTCCTGGTGGTGCTGATGCTGTTGGCCTGGAGACCAAGTTGAGAATCTATGATGAGAACACACCGTCCTGTACTAGCCTGGGCTGCATAAGCCCCATCTTTCATGAATCCACAGGCCCTTAGTACACACAGTTGACAAAACCATCCTCCCATGTAAACTCCATTATGGTCAATGTTGTCTCTTTTTGTTCCTACTTTGACCAAGGTTTGGTAGTTTTAAGAAAAATTGAAGCCAGGGTGTGGTGGTGTGTGCCGGTGATCACAGGACTTGGGAGGTGGAGGCAGGAGGATCAGGAGTTCAAGGTCATCCTTAGCTATAGGAGGAGTTCAAGGCCAGCCTGGGCTCATGAGACCTGATCTTGAAAATGCCAAAAGCAAGCCGGCATGGTGGCACATGCCTTTAATCCCAGCAGTTGGGAGGCAGAGGCAGGTGGATCGCTGTGAGTTCAAGGCCAGCCTGGTCTACATAGTGAGTTCCAGGACAGCTGGGGCTACAGGGAGACCTTGTCTCAAAAAGACCAAAAAAAAAAAGCAAATAAATGAGTTGGGTTCAGATGGCTTCTCTAAGCGTAGAACAAGCAAACAAGCACTGGGGTTGCAGTTTTATTTTTTTAATTCATCAATTTTATACCTGTATATATTGTATTTTGGTCATTTCCACCCCTCTGTCCTGTCTCCTGCTCTAGCTGAACCCCTTCTTTCCAAGTCTCTTCCTCCTCTCATGTCTTTTTGTTTTTGTGACCCACTCATTTTAACGGTATGTACATGTTCCATACGTATGCACATGTGTGTGGAGGCCAGAGATCCATGTTCAGCATCATCCTCAATCCATTTACTGAGATAGGGTCTCTTGCTGAACCTGGAACTTGCACATTACTAGCCTGTCAGTGAGCCCCCAGCACCCTCCTGTCCCACTTCCCCAGCACTGGGATTACAGGTGCATATAGCCATTCCCGGGGCAAGCACTGCACCAACTGAGCCAACTTCTCAGACCCCGATTGTTGTTGTGACCTGCTGGCCTGGAACTTGTGACCCTCCTGCTTCAGCACCCAGAGTACTGAGACTACAGGTGTACACCCTGCAAGATTGCCTGTGAAAATCTGGGGCAGGCCATAGTAATTTGGGAGAAAGGGCTCTCCCACAGAGCATTATACAACACCAGGGACAGAGGCAATCTTATTTTCCTCCTTTTTGAATAGCCAGCAAGTGAGTGTATTGGACACTGAGCTGTCTGCATCTCTGGAGAGGGGGGGTCCCAAGGATTTAACTGCTGTTTTGTCTGCACAGGTGCACTGGCCAGGGTGCAAGTATTTGGGAAGTGGCACAGCGTGCCCAGGAAGCAGGCAACCTATGGAGACACTGGGCTAACCTACACATTTTCTGGCCTTACATTGACTCCAAAACCTTGGATCCCAGTTCTAGAGCGAGTTCGGGATTGCATCTCTGGGGTGACAGGACAGACCTTCAACTTTGTGCTCATTAACAGGTAACACTTCCCTTGTGTGGTGGACTAGGAATATATCTGTCCCTCCAAGAGAGATTACAGGACTTCACCATGCTTTGTTCATTTGTGCCAGTCCTTCCAGAGTGAGGAAGGGATGCAGTGGTGGAACAGAGCAAGCCTCATGGTTTTCAGAGCTGGAGAAAAGGCTCAGTAGTTAAGAGCACTTGCTGCTCTTCCAGAGAACCAGAGTTCAGTTCCTAGCAGTCTTGTCAGGTGGCTAACAGCTGCCAGTATCTCCAGCTCCAGGGGATCCAACACCTCTGGCCTTTATGGGGCACCTGCACTCACATGCACATACCCACACACATAATTAAAAATACACTTTTTAGCCAGGCATGGTGGTGCACGCCTTTAATCCCAGCACTTGGGAGGCAGAGGCGGGCGAATCTCTGTGAGTTCAAGGCCATCCTGGTCTACATAGTGAGTTCCAGGACAGCTGGGGCTAAAGGGAGACCCTGTCTCAAAAAGACCAAAAAAAAAACCAACCCAAAACTTTTAAAAGAGTTCTCATGGAGCAGGCAAGAGGTAAGGTGGGTTAGGCTAGGTTATTGCAGACAGTGCTTAGTGTCTTGGGGAAAGACTGATTTGACTGAGAGGTTCAGGGCAAGATCTTTCATTGGGTGTACTACTGACATTTGGGGTCAGGAAATACTTTGCTGTGTAAGGCTGGCTGTGCGTTAGGACACTCAGTGTATCCCTAGTCTCTACCCTGTAGGTGCCAGTAGCATCTGCTTCCATCAGAGCAGTCAGTCGTCTAGGGGACAGAATCACCCTGGCTGAGAGGCCTGGGCTAAGGGGGAAGGCTATTTTGCATGAGGTGATTAGAGGAAGGCTCCTGAGGCAGTGACAGTTGAGCTGGAAAGCTGGAGACATTTACTGCAGAGCAGAGTGAGCCCAAGTGTCCTGTCGGGGACCTTTTGGAGAGATGGGAGAGCAAGAGTGGGTAGAGAATGGAAGGCACTTGAAAGGCAGTACCAGACTGCAAAGAATGATGGTTTTATTGTACATGAACCAGGGGACTAAGACACATGACTGTCTCTGCATTTGATGTGTGTTACATTTGCAAGCATTGTAAGCAGTCAGTTACCAAGCAGAGATGCTTCAGGCTAGGACTTGCTGGCCTCTCCAGGCAAGGACCTCAGGGCTTTACAGAAATGCAACACTGTTTCACACTGCAAGAAAATGAGGCACCTAGAGCGCCAGCAGGTGAGGGAGAGGGTTTTCTTCCACACTGCTTGTTTTCTCATTGCAGGTATAAAGATGGACGTGACCACATCGGGGAGCATCGAGATGACGAAAGGGAACTTGCCCCCGGGAGCCCCATTGCCTCTGTCTCCTTTGGTGCCTGCAGGGACTTCCTCTTCCGGCACAAGAGCTCTCGAGGGAAGAGCCACCAGCAGACAGTGGAGGTGGTCAGGCTACAGCTGGCCCACGGAAGCCTACTGATGATGAACCACCCCACCAACACCCACTGGTACCACAGTCTTCCCATCCGCAAGAAGATTCTGGCTCCTCGAGTCAACTTGACATTCCGGAAAATTTTGCCTACTAAGAAATAAAACATTTTTTAACAGTCAGTACTGTTCTTTCTCTTTCTACTTTGAGAGGAAGCTGGTGTTTGCTTTACCCATAAAGAACACAGGAGCTTTAACAAAAGCATAGGGCCTGGTGTACAAGGCCCAGTTCAGGAAGAATATGACACCAGCCATTAAAGAATAGTACTCAGCCAGGCCTGTGGCACATCCTTTAAAACCAGCACATGGGTGGCTGTGAGTTGGAGGCCAGCAGGGCCATATAGTGAGACCCTGCCTCAAAAAAAGACCACTCAACTTTCCTAACAAAATGATCCTTTTATTGCTATAATACACAGCAGATACAAAAGTACCTTTAGCAAATACACAAATCAGCAGTCTGCAGCATAACCACTAGCTTAACTTAGGTTTTCCAGGAAGAAGCTACTGACTTCATAAATAACTTAAAACTAGAAATCAGATCATTTGGTTGCTACCTAATGCCTAATAATTTACAAAATGAGGATGTGAGTTAGCTCAGTTACAATAACACATTTACAAACTTGGCTCACGCCCTTCCTCTGACCTGCTTCCAAGTGAGCCTCCCCACCTGTCCCTTCACCGTCTCTTCCCTGGCTCACTTCAGCATGAGTGGTACCAGGACAGTGAAGACTGGAACCTACAACTCTGCAAGCAGTCTAAGGTCACGTGATCTGGCACTTGTGCTTTTGTTCAACCTCAGGTATGCAGGGCCGTCTGGCCAGAACAAGCTCATCTGCTCCTTGCTCCTCCATCGTTGTTTCTTGCTGGCAGGGAGAGTCACCAAGTCCTCAGGGTGCACAGTGAGCACCCTGGCGTCTAGCTGATGCCTAGGCACATCTGGAAGTGTCGGCCAGCTCACCCCAAGTGGAGAAAACACGTCCCTGGTGTGACCTTTGGATATACCCGATTCCAAATTGCTTCTGAGTCTGTTTCAATTTGGTATCCTTTTTGTTTTTAAATTATAAACCTTGCTAAAACATAGGTACTCCTGTGTTATTAAAATTCCTTCAGCCCTGGGCTGCATTTATGAGATCTGCAAAGGGAAGAAAACGCTCACTGCACTCTACATGAACTAGGCTGCTGGAAACATTGAGAATATGGATCTAGAATAGAATGATGAGATCAGCTGTCGTTTCAGAAATCACAAGCTGCTTTCATCCTGGACTCTGGTGCTCACTGACTGTCAGCCTCTTCCTAACCCAGCTCTCAAGCCACCTCACCCACATTCCTGGCTGAACACCTTAAGAACCTTCAAGGTCTTGTGTAGCAGAGAGATTAGCAGGTGGTCTGTACACACCTGGCTAGCTGCAGCTTTGGAATAGACTAAAGTCACTTCTCGGTCCAGGGTCTCCAAAGGGAACAGTGACATAGGAGTAGTACCCTTACAATATAACTGACAAAATGAACAATTTCAGAGCTGGGGCATCTGGCAGATGAGCCTCCACTGCATACAAAGAATTGAAAGATTACAAAAGGCATACAAAAAGGTGGGAGGTGTTGAGGCTTTTTTTTTTTTTTTTTTTTTTTTTTTTTTTTTTTTTTTTTTTTGAGACAGGGTTTTATATAGCCCAGGCTGGCCTGGAAGTTGCAGTTATCCTGCTTCAGCATCCCCAGTGCTGGGATTACAGGAGTGAGCCACCAATGCCCAGTTTAGACATCTTTTAACTCCTCTTTGATCTCTGAGTAACTTGAAAGAGGGGCTTTTCAGAAGTGGTGCATGTGACTCTTAAGTATGTCTGCTTCTCAGAGTGAGCTTACTACAAAAACAATCAAAAGTAAAAGGCACTTTTTCTTCTAAATTGTGTCCTTTAATCATTTCACTAATGCTTGTCAATTTGAGGAGGGGGCTCCTTATTAAAAATAAAAGGTCTATGCTGAAAGGTCATAGGATTAGACAAAAGCAACCTCCTCTGAGAACATCTAGCATATTACAGTAGTAGAAAAAGTGGCTCCTGGAGTCTGGTTTAATTACCTGTATCAGATGAGTAAAAGATGCTCTAGACAGAATGAATGCTGTCCTAACAGGAGGACCCCTTCCAGTACACCCTTGCAGAGCTTCGTGGGACTGGCTCCCATGTGGAGCCTGCTCTTAGAATACACAGTAGACTGAGGGGCTCTAGAGGGGCTGGCTTGCACGTGTACACATGGCAAGCCTTTGCGTTTACTGGGGACAGAGTGGACCGCACCACAGGCCCTAGCTCTGGGTTGGCATGTCACTCCTCAGACCTGTACTCCCGTCCTTGTTGCATCCTCGACAGAACACGCTCGTAGAACAGCAGATAGGCGCTGGAGGACAGGACCTCCTGCAGGCTGGCCCTGCGGACAGTGTCGTCAGAAATCCACAGCCACTGGTTGCTGGTTGACAGAGGATTTTTGGCTGAAGGTGGGGACCGTCTATAAGTAACAAAGTGTCCAGAGTGCATGTCCCCATGGTGGACAACAACTGCCATCAAGCGGAAGAGGTATGTGGAGGAGCTGGTGGATGGGAACAAATGCCAGTTGTTTATAAACAGAACAAGGCCTTATAGGCAAAAACTAAAGCCTAAAAGAATCCTGTGTTACACGACAGGGGATGAGTACAATAGGGCATGCACACAACCATCAAAACATGACTCTGCATTTGCTATGAGTGGACATGCACTGTACATATGAAACTTGTGATGGCGCATAGTGAGTCTATGTGACACGTGTGCTTCATATAGTAATGGCTAAAGCTGGAACTGGCTATCCAGGTGCTGTCCTGCTTAAAGAGCAGCACTTCTTCATACTTTGTACATCGATGCATGCACATGCAAGTTTCATATACTTTCATAACTTTCCTTTTTAAAATTATTTCTGTCTTGGGCAACAATGGTGTAACAAATACTGAAATTCTACCTTGAAATCAAGACAACTAATCACTGTTTTTGTTTGTTTCATCTCGATAGTGGAGAAGACAACGGACTCCTCAGGAGCAGCTCACCTGTAGTCAGGAACCACCGGCAGAGGGAAGGGCACTGGAGGAGGCAGTGTTGGCAATAAAGATGGGGAGCAGGTACCATTCATAAAAATCTGTGTTTTGGGGGCTCCTGGCTGACTCAGGACTATAAGAGAAAAAGGCCTGAGTTAATGAAAACAAGCAGTGGCTCTGGGCAAACATGGTGATTTTTGTTTTTTGTTTGGTTTCAGAGTTGCTGTTGTAGCCCAGGCTGGCTCTATATTGCTACATCAGCCTCCCTAGTGCTGGGTTATAGGCATGCATCACAATGACTAGCTTCAAAACCTAGATTTGATATCCTTGAAAATAAACTCCCATTATGCTACAAATAAAGGGAAAAAAGCCCAAAGACCTTCATTTTGTATTAGACTGGTTGATGAAACATCCTATGTTTTGTCCCATCTGTTTTCATTCCAAACAGCAAATGGCATCCAGTGCCAGATCTGCTGGCTTTGGCAACTCTGGGACCTGGGGATTCCTCTCATTTGCTAATGAATGTGTCAGAGGTACACAGCCCCTAAGAGATTAAGGACTGGCTTCTTGTACCCCATACTTTCCAAGCTTAGAGGCCTTTCCTCCTTTTGTTCTTGGGGTGGGGGCAGCATGCAGTGGTGAACTCAGCCTCAGAACCTTGCATGTCAGTGGGTTTTCCTCATGTAGAACTCTACAGAACTTGGCATGTCAGAAAAGATTCCTTCAAAACACAGCTAACACCATATTCTAGGAAATTTCTTTCATTTACTGCCTGTCCTGGACTAGTCATTTCACAGTGGAGCCTGAATTTCTTGTCAGGAGATGGGGTGATAACAGCTGCCTTGCCTAACAGAACCTGACAAGATTCAACCTCAGGGAAGGACAGAGGGAAGGAGATAGGGAATATTCAGTAAAGGTATTAGCCCAGTGAGATGCTCAGTTAGGACACTGACTCCCCATACTTCCCATATAAATAAGATGACTCTATTGGCTGGGGGTGAAGAGCAGAGAGAAAAACATTCACTGGAAAGGTATGAGCTAATTGTTTAGAGATCAAAAAGCAACATGGCAACTTTAAGCTTTTCTTCCCATACTTTTTCGTTTGTGGTAGCGCTTTTATTTTTATTTTAAATTTTTTAAAGTTATGTGTATTTGAGGCTGTGTCTGCATCTGTGAGTGAAGGTGCCTGCAGAGGCTAGGAGAGGGCCCAGAGTCCCTGCAGTTGGAGTTACAGGTGGTTGTGAGGTACCTGATATGGGTGCTGGGAACTGAATTCAGGTCCTCTATGAGAGCAGTATGTGCTTAACAGTTGAGCCCTCTCTCCAGCCCTTTTACCTCCTTACATTTTAAAATGTACTACTATTGTGTGAGTGCACCTGCTACAGTGTGCATGTGGAGGTTTGAGGACAACTTATACAGTCAGCTCTCTCTTTTTACCTGTATGTGGGTGCTGGATATCAAACTCAGGTTGCCAGGCTTGTATAGCAAGCTTCTTACCCACTGAGCCATCTGGCTGGCCCTGTGACAGAGGTTTTTTAAACTACATGTTTCATTCTATATCATTTTAACCTCTTTGAGAAATGTTGGCTGACACATAGCTCAGTGGTTGATTGCTTGCCTACTATGAGTGAGGCTCTAGACTCCTATGCTAACCCTGCAGAGAAGAAAAACAACCCTACCCTTTTCCACCACTCTGTCCTACCATTATGAAGAATTGAAGTAACCACTGCACAAACCTTGTGTGCATACCATAAGGAGCCACCAGTGGTGATGCCAAATCCCTCTGTGCACAATTGTCACCAGGGGAACACACCTGGCTTTGGGGCTACTGTCCTGTCCTGTAGTTCCAGTGCAGGCCCAGGGTTCTCACTGGGTTTGGGGCCATGCTGACTCTGTTTGTGTCCCAGGAGGCGGTACTTGTAGATGTCCATCATCAGGAACTCGTTAAACTGCACGTGCTCATGCCGCTTCAAGGGTGTGCCATGGCTGGACCAGCTGAGTCGCTGGAGATGGATGCAGAGGCACTGAGGGAGCTGTGGGCAGGGAGGGTGGGAAGAGCTGAGGTATTTCAGGAGCAGATGTGGATGTGGGGTCCCCCAAAACATAGGCAACCAAGTGTATGAGGTGGGCTCACCTTCCCTAGCTTTAACTGCTTAACAAAAGTGGTCCTTTGGTGTTCGACCTTTTCCCCATTCAGTGTTCCTTTGGCTTCAATCTGCAATAGAGCAACAGCGTTTGTCTGCAGAAATCCCAGGAGCAGGACACCTCCAGGGAGCAGCAGCTGAGGCTGGTGTTGTATATGCCTGTTCTGGGACGTGGCTGCTACTGCTGACATTAGCTCAGCTGTTCATTACGTGTAGGTTGTTTTCACGGAGTCCTCTTAGTCACTAAGTAACAGTAGCCATGGAAGGAGGAGAACGAATCAACACTGAAACGTAATTTTTTTAAAATCCTGGATTTCAGCATCTGTGGCCTTGGGCAGTGCCCTGGAGACACTGGAGGTGAAGTAGCAGTTTGATCTCTACATGGACACCAGAGGGCACCTGTGAGTAAATCTTCTGGGTCCTGCTTCTCCCCCGCACCACCCACAGTGCCCAGCACACCTGAGGCTGCTTCTTTCAAATTGAAGCATTCCCTCCTGAACTGCACAGGAAGACACGTGAAATTCACAGCAAAGTACAAGACTTAGGAAGCTATTGAAGCTCCATGACTCCTAAGGCACCCTGAGGTTATACAAGCAGCGAGCGCTGGGGAGAGGAGACTTCAGCGGAGCTGCCTGCAGGTTTCACAGGAGCTTCAGGGGCACAGCTTTGTGAGTCATCACTCATGTTTGGGTGGGCTTTGGTGGACGCAGTTGCTTTTGAGTCGCTCACATACTGCAACCACCCGCAATAAACTCATGGATTCATATACACAGATAATTCTATGTACATAGTTCTTCTAGAATCAGAAAATGAAATCAGTTATGTAGGGGAGTCGGGCAGGGAACACAGTGCAACGGTGGATGTGAGACAGGCAGAATGGACCGGCTAACGCTGCAAGGGCACGTCTCAGTTCTATGCATAACACTCCAGGGTTTTCCTTTAAATACTGTAGATGAAACAAAACTCATCTGGGAAACAGTCATAGGTAGCTGCTCTGCAACCCAAGTCAGGGGTTAACATAGCAAAACACGATGTGTTTAAAAGAAAATTCTGTGAAAACAACTTTATAAACCTAAGAGCTACGATAATATTGAACAGTAGTTTGAAAACAATTGTAACATTATGTAAGAAATGGCAGTGGCTGGAGAGATGCCCTGGGTGTGCCAGTCCTGTGTGCGTGAGAGGTACTTTACTAAAGCACACTGGTGTCTGCTGGGAAGGTGACACTGGGATGGAATGCATACCTTTGTGCAGTTGTCACACACAACATCCCGCACTGATTCTGAAGAGATGAAGTGGTGAAGGCAGTGGTCCAGGGTCAGTGGGTGACCCTACAGCAGGAGAGGAAGAAATCAGAACAGCCTAAAAGGCAGCTACCCTGAAACTATTAGCGGGTGGCAGGGAACCCCCCGCCACCCGCCAAGAACTATGTTTTCGGATATGCAGGCAACAAAGCTTGACAGACAAAAACTGGATCTTGAACAGTGGTGGAATTCAACCCCCTACATGCTACTGCTGACTGAGAGGGCTGAGCTGTGGAAGATTACTCACTGTCACACCATTAGATTCTTTGAATCTGAGGTATGCGAACGATGCACTTGTGTTCAAAATGCCAATGTTTCTGCAGCAAGAGGAAGCATCCCACCTTTGTCTCCCTCAGAACCAGGCCTGGCACCACAGACCACGGTTAACATGGCCTAGCTAGCCATGTAATTGAACGATACTTAGTACCTGGGCCAAATAAAATGCCTCAAAACACTTTTGGACTGAAAATTCTCCAAAACAGATCCCAAATTAACCACAGATCAGTACGTACCCAAGTAGCCGCTGGAATGCTCAGAGAAAGGCTATCAAAGGTGTCAAACCGAACAGGACTCTGAAACAGACATTGTAGAAAATCCAAAGAGGACTTAGATTCAATTCAGCAGATGGAAGACATCTGCCTACAAGACAGTTTAATATTTAGGTGGTTACCATTAACATAGCAAAACACAATATACTTAGAAGCAAATTCTATGAAAACAACTTTAAAAACCTAAGAGCTACAATAATATTGAACAGTAGTTTGAAAACAACTGTAAGATTATACACCTGACCCAGCAGTGTGGGGATTTTTTTATCCTAAGGAAATGGTCCTGGCTATCAGAATTTCCATCAGGGTATCATCGGTAACATTAAAAATGGGAATGGTTGGGCTGGAGAGATGGCTTAGCCGTTCAAGGCTCAGGCTCACAACCTAAACATAAAACAGGAATGACTGAAGCCTCTGGGGATTATCAAACACACTACAGCACGCTGAGGGAACAAAACTGTATATTAAAAGAATGTAGCAGAGAATGTGTGATTACCTGGCAAGATGTTCATGTCACATTATTAAATGTGAAACAAAGCAGGTAATAAAAGAGGGCAAAAAGCATTTCATGTGGTGATAGTAGAACTTGGAGTACACCCCAGAACAACTTTAAAATCTGGACCAAAATAAAACAACTGTAATTGGGTAGAGAGCTACCAAAACCAAGCAGAAGTGGGAAAGAAGTCAGCTAAGAGACAAGAGCTGGAGTGAGATCTGCCTGCTTGTGGCTTTTCCTCTCACTCTACACAGAACCAAGGGAAAAAGCAGCTATCATACAGAACTGAGTGGTCAGAAGAGAGTTCAGGGATGACAGACAGACAGGGAAGTCACAGAGAGGATGAGTCCCAAATCTGTGTATACCCTGTGTGATTCCATGGCTGCCCACAGAGCCACACATATTCAGGGAGTCTCACAAATTCTAACTGCCAGAACAGACCCCAATTTTTTCTTTTTTTGGTTTTTTGAGACACGGTCTCATGTAGCCCAGGCTGGCTTCAAACTCACTATGCAGCTGAGACCGCCCTTCAGCTTTCAGCCCCTAACAGTTGGGATTACAGGTACGCATCACCACACCTGAGCCACAAAATTTATTTTCCTTCAGAGAGGTATAATAGAATCTAGAGTCTCCACTCTTTTAAATACACAATAAAAATGTCTAGAGATAGAGCACAGAGAGGAAACTATAACCGGAGAAGAGAAAGAGTTGGCTTAGATGTGGAAGTTGGTGCTCCAGGCCAGAAAGAAACCAGAGATGGTGAATGGATAAATAGAACAATAAAAAAGAAGGAAATGGAAACACTACAGTCTAAAATACAAAAACTACTGGAAGGCAAACAGATAAAATGGAAAAGTATTGGTGAACTTGAAAATGCATCCACAGAAATGTCCTAGTCTCAACAGAAGACTGATGAGGAGTGAGCAGGCACCGGCCACCTGTGGAACCCCAACAGGTGGCCTAGCAGGTGGACAGCAGGTATAAACTCTTTAAGAAACTTTTATAGCTGGCGTGGTGGTGCACGCCTGTAATCCCAGCACTTGGGAGGCAGAGGCAGGCGGATCTCTGTGAGTTTAAGGCCAACCTGGTCTACATAGTGAGTTCCAGGATGGCTGGGGCTACAGGGAGACCCTGTCTCAAAAAGACAAAAAAAAAAAACAAAACCTTTTATGCATGGGGTTGGAGAGTTGGCTCAGTGGTTAAAGGCACTGATTACTCTTGTAGAACAGTAGGGTTTGATTCCCAGCACCCACATGGCGGCTCACAACCATCCATAACTCCAGTTTCAGGGGATCTAATGCTTTCTTCTGACCTCTGCAGGCATTGCATGACGTGTGTGCACTTACACAAATGCAGGCAATACACTCATACACATAAAATAAAAATAATAAAACATTTAAAAAAAGAAGACCTAGGTTCAAATCCCAGCACCCACATGGCAGCTAACAACCATCCATAACTCCAGTTCCAGAGGATCCTCACTCCGCCTGTAAGTGGTGGCTTTTTGGTTTGGGGGGTGTTTTTTGTGTATCTTTTTAAACAGGGTCTCCCTCTAGCCCCAGCTGGCCTGGAACTTGCTATAGAGACCAGGCTGGCCTCAATGTCACAGAGATCTGCCTGCCTCTGCCTCCCTACTGCTGGGATTAAAGACGTGCTACTCCCGCCCCCTATCTCCAAGGCTAGGTAGAGGTTTTTAAAAAGGTACTTTATATTCAAAAGAACAAAATGAATAATACTTGCTTTGGGAAAAAACGGGGCTAGAAGGAGAACAATGTCCTTAGAATAATAATTTTGGAACAAGCTGAAGCGAGACTCAGGAGCACTGTGTCTAAGTCAATGCAAAGCAAAAACATTCTCAAATAAAGAAAATGTAAGTGTGCCTGTCACGGGCAGACCTGGAAAAAAGGCTGCAGAGACCTCTGTAGGCCAAAGGGGAAAACCACAGGCTGAAGAATGCCAAAATGCTAAGTATAAAATATATTTTCTATTTTTATTAAACTTATTTATTTTTTGTGTGTGAGTTTCTGTACATGGAAGTCAAAGGACAACTTGTAAGAGTCAAGTCTCTCCTTCTAACATGTGGATACTGGAGATTGAAGTCAGGTCGGTAGGATTGGTGGCAAGTACCTTTACTCAGTGAGCTATTTCACCAGCCCCAAATCATTTTTATTTTAAAGTTAATTAATTAATTTATATTTGTGTGTATGTGTGTTCTGTCTGCATGTATGTAAGTGCACCACATGCATGGAATGCCCACAGAGGTCAGATGAGGGCATCAGATCCCCTGGAACTTGAATTATGGATGGCTGTTAGGACCTGAACCCAGGTCCTCTGCAAGAGCAGCCAGTGCTCTGGCCATCTCTGCTGTGCCATCTCTCCAGTCCTTTCTTTCAATTTCTTGAAAATACATATAAGTAGACTGGTACAATGGCATGAGCTAACAGTCCTTGCTCTCAGAGTCTGAAGCAAGAGGATCATTTGAAATTCTCAGGAATTTGAGAACAAGGTGGGCAACAAGATAGCCATTTGAAAACAAAACCTATTTAAAGCAAATTCCAACATAGTACTGACAGAACTGTGGGGTTTGTAATACGTACAGATGCAACCTATGTCACAAAAACAGAACAAAGGGCCAGATGCTGTCGCAACTCTCTAGTACTTTACATGAAGGAGGGTAATGCTGTATCCAAATAGACTGTGATAGGGTGACACTGCATGATGTAAACAACATGTGAGCGCACACACATGCACACTACACACAAAGACACATGTAAAAATGTATAGCTAAAAGTCCAACAAAGGAATTACTACAGAATACTAAAAAGTATTTGATTAACTCAAAGAAGGCAGGAAAGAGGTGACAGAAAATCAAAAAATATGTTAGGACAAAAGCAAATGGGGGGCTGGAGAGATGGCTCAGCGGTTAAGAGCACTGGCTGCTCTTCCGAGCACCCATGTCGGGTGGCTCATAACTGTCTGCAGCCCGAGCTCCAGGGAGCCAACACGTTCTTCTGGCCTCCTTTGGTACCTACACTCACTTGCACATACATACACTTTCACTTTTTTTTTTTTTTTTGTCTTTCTGAGTCTGGTTTATTTTGTTTAACACAATGATTTCCTGTTCCATCTATTTTCTTGAAAATGACATGATTTTTTCATTAGGGCTAAATAATACTTCATGTGTGCATATGCCACATTTTCTTTATCAATTCGTTGTTGATGACCACCTAGGTTGATCTGTGACTTGGCTATAATGCAGAGTGCCACAATAAGGATGGGTATGCAAGTATAATGGGATTAATGGGATCCTGTGGTAGTTGTACTTTTACTTTAAGTTAATTTACATTTCCCTGTACCTTCCCTGGCATTTATTTTTGTTGGAGATATATATATATATATATATATATATATATATATATATATGTTTTTTTTTTTGGTCTTTTTGAGACAGCTGGCCTGGAACTCACTATGTAGACCAGGCTGCCCTTGAACTCACAGAGATCTGCCTGCCTCTGTCTCCTGAGTGCTGGGATTAAAGGCGTGCACCACTACTCTGTTGTTTGTTTTCCTGATAACAGCCATTCTGATTAAGGTGGAATGCTATTTCAGTGAAGTTTTGGTATGGCTAAAGATGTTGAACATTTTTCATGTACCTATAGGTCATTTATATTTCTTTTCTTTTCATTTATTTATTTATTTATTATTTATTTATTATTTTTTGTCTTTTTGAGACAGGGTCTCCCTGTAGCCCCAGCTGTCCTGGAACTCACTATGTAGACCAGGCTGGCCTTGAACTCACAAAGATCCGCCTGCCTCTGCCTCCCAAGTGCTAGGACTAAAGGCATACGCCACCAGGCCCAGCTTCTTTATTTTTATTATTTTATGTGCTTGCATTTATTGCCTGCATGTATGTAAGTGCACCCATGTTGTACAATGCCCACAGAGGACAGAAGAGGCGGTTGGATCTCCTGGAACTGGAGAGTTATGGACAGTTATTAACTGCTATGTGGGTGCTGGGATCCGAACCCGGGTCTTCTGAAAGAACAGCTAGTGTTCTTAACCACTGAGCCATCTCTCCAGCACTGGTCATTTATACTTCTTATGAGAAGTGTCTGTTCAGTTCAGTTGCCCATTTGTTGATTGGATTATTTCCTTTTTTAAAGTTTAATATATATATTTATATAAAATTTGGGTGTTATTGACATCCGATTGCTGCTAGATGAGGAACAGCTGACCTTCCTAAAATAAAGACCTCTAGATAGGCTGACTAGATTCACCAGATGGACAAGTAGTGGGGAACAGCTGGGGGTGCTGACATCACAGCAGACAGTAGCAGGGATAACAGAGTATAAGGGCTCTAGTAGGGGGAGGGAGACTATGGGAGGGTGCCATATGGGAAGTGGGTGTACAAGTGAATAAGATGGTTGGGATGTTCTGTGTGATATACACACACATACAAAAAAATTAACGAATTAAAAAAATGAATTATATTTGAGGAGGAAGCATAAAAAGTTACATCATGTTAATT